GTCCTGCGCATCTGGGATCGCCAGCGTTGCCTTATTGCCAAGGTACCCAGAGGTGAAAATTGACTCTACGTCCTTGATGTGCAGGTGGCACAACCGGTCTGTCTCGCTGTCCGTCGGGACGACGAGGCGTGGCAGTGGCATGAGCGCTTTGGGCACCTTCATTTTGAGGCCCTAAAGCGTCTAAGTGCCAAGGAGATGGTGCGAGGCCTGCCATGCCTCGACCATGTGGAGCAGTTCTGCGACATCTGCGTGCTGACGAAGCAGAGACGACTCCCCTTTCCCCAACATGCGAGTTTTCGGGCCAAGGAGAAGCTGGAGCTCGTGCACGGAGACCTGTGCGGCCCGGTGACGCCAGCCACACCAGGAGGTCGACGCTACTTCCTGCTGCTCGTCGACGATCTTTCCTGCTACATGTGGGTGATGATCCTCGGAAGTAAGGGAGAAGCGGCGGACGCCATCAGGCGCGCGCAGGTTGGTGTGGAGGCGGAGAGCGGCCGCAAATTGCGCATGTTGCGCACTGACAACGGCGGCGAGTTCACGGTGGCTGAATTCGCATCGTACTGCGCCGATGAGGGCATCCAGCGCCACTACTCCGCGCCGTACAGCCCGCAGCAAAACGGCGTCGTCGAGCGGCGCAACCAGACGATTGTGGGGATGGCTCGGGCTCTCCTCAAGCAGAGAGGGATGCCGGCTGTCTTCTGGGGAGAGGCGGTGCTAACGGCCGTCTACATCCTCAACCGCTCACCTACTAAGGCACTTGACGGCAGGACTCCATACGAGGCCTGGCATGGGCGGAAGCCGGCGGTTTCTCATTTGCGGGTCTTTGGCTGCCTTGCGTTTGCCAAGGAGCTCGGCCACATCGGCAAGCTCGACGACAGGAGCACTCCGGGAGTCTTCATCGGCTACACGGAGGGCTCAAAGGCCTACCGCATCCTCGACCCAAAGACACAACGTGTGCGCACAGCGCGAGACGTCGTGTTCAACGAAGGGCGAGGGTGGCAATGGGACAAGGCGGTGGACGACGGCTCGACGCCGATGTATGACGACTTCATTGTTGAGTACGCCTACTTCAAGGAAGTTGGGGGAGCAAGCAGCTCCTCTTCGCCGGGCATGTCTACCTCGGCCCCCAAAACTACATCGACTCCGGCGCCTGCTACGCCAACGACACCACAACCGGCGACGCCGCATACTCCAACCCCGGCGGTCACCACTCCGGGCTCGTCTTCATCAGCACCAGCTCACGCAGAGCACAACCCGATGAAGTTCGCTTCCCCGCTCACTCACGACGAGGAGCGTATCGACGCGTATTATGGTGGTGAACAGCTGCGGTATCGTACGATGGATAATCTACTCAGCAACCAGCCAGTGCCGGGACTGGTGCCATGTGACCTGGAGGCGCAGCTACAGCTCGCGTGTGAAGACGGCGAACCACAGTCCTTTGCAAAGGCCGAGAGAGACGCGGCATGGCGCGCCGCGATGCAGTTGGAGATGGATGCGGTCGAGCAAAACCGCACCTGGGAGCTCGCTTATCCCCCTCGTGGTCACTGTGCAATCACCCTTAAGTGGGTGTTCAAGCTGAAGAGGGATGGAGCCGGCGCCATCATCAAGCACAAGGCTCGCTTGGTGGCCCGAGGCTTCTTGCAGCAGGAAGGAGTCGACTTTGACGACGCTTTCGCTCTCGTGGCACGGATGGAGTCCGTGCGACTTCTCCTTGCGCTGGCTGCCCAGGAGAGCTGGCGTGTCCATCACATGGATGTCAAGTCGGCATTCCTCAACGGCGACTTGAAGGAGGAAGTCTACGTGCATCAGCCACCGGGATTTGCGATCCCCGGCCACGAGGGCAAGGTACTCCGCCTGCGCAAGGCTCTCTATGGCCTACGGCAGGCACCTAGGGCGTGGAACGCCAAGCTGGACTCCACGTTAAAGAAGATGGGCTTCGAGCAAAGCCCGCATGAGGCGGCCGTCTACCGACGGGGCAGTGGAGGAAATGCCCTGCTGGTGGGCGTCTATGTTGACGACTTGGTGATCACCGACACCAAAGATGCAGAGGTGGCGGCGTTCAAGGAAGACATGAAGGCCACCTTCCAGATGAGTGATCTGGGGCTCCTCTCCTTCTATCTAGGGATTGAGGTGCACCAGGATCACTCCGGGATCGCACTTCGACAGTCCGCCTACGCCAAGCGCATCGTTGAGCTAGCTGGGCTCATCGACTGCCACCAAGCTCTCACTCCGATGGAGGAGAGGCTGAAACTGGGCCGCGACAGCACGACGGAGGAAGTGGACGCTACGCAGTACCGACGCCTTGTGGGGAGCCTTCGCTACCTCGCCCACACACGACCGGACTTGGCCTTCTCCGTCGGCTATGTCAGTCGGTTCATGGAGCGACCGACGTCGGAGCACCAGCAGGCAGTGAAGAGGATCATCCGCTACGTGGCGGGGACCCTCGACCACAGCCTCCACTATCCCAGGTCTCCGGGGGCGGCACACTTCGTCGGGTACAGCGACAGCGACCATGCCGGTGACATCAACACCAGCAAGAGCACAAGCGGGATCCTCTTCTTCCTCAGCAAGTGTCTCGTGAGCTGGTAATCGGTCAAGCAGCAGGTGGTGGCCCTGTCCAGCTGTGAGGCCGAGTACATAGCGGCCTCCACCGCTTGCACTCGGGCGCTCTGGCTCGCTCGACTGCTTGGTGATCTCCTCGTCCAAGACACCAGAACGGTGCAGCTCCTGGTGGACAGCAAGTCCGCCCTGGCCCTGGCAAAGAACCCCGTTTTTCATGAACGGAGCAAGCACATCCGACTGAGGTATCACTTCATCTGCAGCTGCTTGGAAGAAGGGAGCATCGAGGCGAGCTACATCAACACCATGGACCAGCTCGCAGACCTGCTCACCAAGCCTCTTGGGAGGATCAAGTTCCTTGAACTTTGCTCCAGGATTGGGATGATTCAACTCTCCCACAAAGCGACGTACAAGACTTAGGGGGAGAATGATGGATAAGTCTACGTACTAGGGTCTTTGTGGGGCTGCAGCACATGGTCCTTTGTGGGGCTGCAGCACATGGTCCTTATGGCAGTTAGGATAGAGTCCTTGACCATCAAGGACTGGCAGTTGAGATAGCATCTTAGACCGGCATCTTAGCATATGCTTGGCTGGCTAGCAGCCTATAAGTATGTATCCCCAACCCCTCAGGTTGGCATGGCATTGTGTGAGAAATAAACCAACGAAAATTGTCCCAACTCTCCTAGTGTCATCCACAACTATCAATGCTCAGGTTGAAAGGTCTAACAAGTGGTATCAGAGCCTCGTTATCTTGCACCCTGAGCATTTCCTGTGAGAAGCCTAAGTCGGTAGCAGCAGCTGCTCCGACTGCCTCTGGTTACCTCCCTCCCTCCGGACTATCGAGCAGCAATTCGTCAACAGCCTCCTCTTCACGCAACAGCCCCCCTGCAGCAAGCCATGTCTGCAGGTCGCTCTCAGCACACGGCTACCTCGAGCATACGGCGCCGGCAGGAGGCCGAGCGCGCCGTTGCAGAGGAGCGTGACCGAGCCCCTACCTTGATTTTCGTTAAAACGCTGAGCCAAAAACTTGGATGGCATCTAAAAGATTTACAAACTCCAAATCAAAGAACCGCACAGATCGAACAGGAGGGAGGAAAAACAGGGGGGAGACAACTGAAAAATCCTTTATGCCATGGATCTGATTTTGTTAAGACAAGATGCGTTTCACACAACTTCCTGACCGAGAGATCTATGATATCTTTAATGTAATCCTGCAACTCTAGTGACCGACTTCACTGGACAATTAAGGAGGGAAATTGGTTTGAAGTTACTAAGGGTTGTTGTCATTATCTTTTTTCCTTAACAAAATCATGTAAGATCTGTTTATCCTTTCTGGTTGTCCACCCGAATTATAGGCTAGAAATCTTGAAAGAAAGCAGAACTGGATCCATCCGGACCTAGCTCCTGCTCCCTTTTGCTTCTGCTCAACTAGTAAGCGTGCACGTGCAAATGCATGTCTCGACTAATATTGCAAACATATGTGAAAATTAACTTGCAGAGAAAGATGTTTTGATCCACTGAAAAATATTGCAAATCAAGAAAGTATGTATATGACCGGTTCAATTTAGTTGGTTCAAATTAGTGTAATTTCACACATAGCACTGCTTTATTGCGGACCTTTGTTGCGATCGTACGAAGATAAACCACACCTCATTAAATATGGTGCCGCATAGAGCCATAGTTAACATCCGGACCTAGCTCCTGCTCCCTTTCGCTTCTGCTCAATGTATCTTCGTTTCATCTCTTCTGTGTTGCTATTCCTCAGTGCCGTCAGAGAAAAATAGGGCCCACGGCAGCTTGCAGAGGGTCCAAGAAGAATGGCAAGTGCGCTCTCAGATATTGCAAGAATTGCATACGTAACAGGTTCAATAATGTCCTCTCTGCTTTTTCTTAGAGGCTGTGGTAGGCAATCTTGAATGGGTTTGTTGATGTTCTCTTTATTTAACAGGTACCCTTTGATTGCGGATGAGGTGTTGAAGGAGGAAGCCTGGGAATGCCCCAAGTGCAGGAATGACTGCAACTGCAGCAAGTGCAAGTGAGCAATCTGAAGCTGGTGCTTGTCATGAGGGATTATAGGTTATTGTTATTGTTTTTATATACTCGTTATCTGGTTTTGTTTGGCAGAAAGAGGAGAGGGGAGGAGCCAGCAGGGCCAATGGTCCATTCTGTCAAGAGACCGAAGGGCAACCTGCGGAGAATTGAGAGCACCGATGCTCTCAAGGATGAAATAGTCATACCCAGAGGTACTCTTGTCAAGAGACCGAAGGGCAACCTGCGGAGAATTGAGAGCACCGATGCTCTAGGATGAAATAGTCATACCCAGAGGTACTCTTGTCAAGAGACCGAAGGGCAACCTGCGGAGAATTGAGAGCACCGATGCTCTCAAGGATGAAATAGTCATACCCAGAGGTACTCTTGTGACTTGCGTTGCTGGTGTAGAGATGCAGCCTGAAGATGTTGGTGCCGCCATTCAATTTTTGGAGTTTTGTCGCTCATTTGGCGAGGTAGTTATGGAAAGCAAATAGTATTTTTTTAATCATATGTTAGTTACACTTCTGCGATAAAATCTCCTTAGTATCACATATGACATATGCATCTACATTTCTGACAATTTGACCAGCGCAATATGTCGTGCAAATCATTGCTGAGACTAGGATGTCTTGAGGGCTTCACAATATTTGTGATAGTGATGCATGTCTATGCAAGTGCCCACTTGGTATATCTCTAATGATCTGTATGCTTGATTTCATCTACCTCCAGAAAGTGTCATAATTATTTTAAATCCATCTTCTATCTCTAACAAGCACCATGGAACAATTTTGAGTGTACAGCAATTAGAAATTATTTTGTGTTGCATTGTTTGATGCATGGACTCCTCATTTGTCATTTCTAAATCCTGTTTGCAGTAGCTAAGTGAGGTTGTCTGAGATTGTTGCTGAGCTCATAAATTCTGCTGTTGGTGAGGTCTAGAATCTTAATCCTGTTCTTGTTACTTCTGTCTTGTTAACACAAAACAGATCATCAACTTGAGAGGCATATTCTTTATGATATGTCAATTTATAATAATCTAAAGAAAGTTTATTTGCATTGTATTTATAATCTGTCATCAAACTTGGTTTTTGTTTCGATAGTTGGAATTCTTACCAGTTCTTAGCTACTTGCTTGCTTTTAGAGACTTTTTCTTCCGTATTATAAATAGAATAATGTACAAAATTATTTAAGCAGATCTTCCAAATAAGGAAGGGCCAATCAGAAAAAATTGTCAAAGACATAACTGGAGATCGTCAACTCCGAGAGGTGTCTTCAGTTGTTGCTGAGCTTCATGCAAACCTGTTATCTGTCATAGAAAACGGCAATTACAAGTAAGTATACTTCAAATTGTATCTCCTTCTAGTTTTGTGCATGTAGTTGAAAAATGAATAAATGAGGTTTTTCCTTTCTCAAGGCCTTTGAAATATCCAAGACATGGGGATGCATGGATAAGAAAACTCAGGAAATATATCACTGACTCGACATTACACGCAAAAGATTTCATCCTTGAGTACTTAAGCCATGGGCTATCTGGATATAAAAATTTGAGCCCTTCTCATAAGCTGGATGTGCTGAATTCTCTGTGTGATGAGGCATTATCATCTGAGTAAGTACAGGCTACCATATGTGCTGAAGTAGTTCACTTTACTACTGTCATATTAATTATCTTGTATCTTTATCAGAAAGTTGAAGACTAGGATTGAAGCTAGAGAATGTGTGGCCAGACAAAAGATCCGTGCTGCAACCGAGAAGGTATTTAGTTGAGAAGTTCCTTTTCTTTGTGGTTAAGTCACTTGGTTGACATTAGTGATCAGCAGTTTTCTCTTCTTTCATAGGAAAAGGAGCTAAAAGAAAGACAGAATGACATGGCTAAAACAATGGGAGGAGAAATCGCTGGCAATGACGAAGCTAATAATATCTTTTGTCAAATAAAGGAGGCAAAAGAAGTCAAGCAGGCAGCCATGAATGGTATGTCGCAGTATGGTCAAATTTGTTTAGTACTGTATTATGCATTTGTTCAGTTTACAGTACCCTTCCCCGGACCCTGCGCAAGCAGGAGCTACATGCACCGGGCTGCCCTTTTTATTGTGCATTTGTTCAGTTTACAGTATGTTTGATATCTTTCACATCAAATATAGCATGCCTTTTAATATGTATATTTTTTTTCTGGAAAATACCTTTGTAATATAACTACATTATTAGGTTTTATATTACTCCCTCCAGTCGACAAAAACATGATGTTTTGGACATAGTTTTGGTCTAACTTTTAAAACTTTAACCATCAATAAGGCAATATCTTCTAAAATATTTTGATTGGGTGAGTGAGAACCATATGTATAGATTTGTCTAAAAAATACTTGCACAATACAACAGATTTTATTAAGTTTTAAACATTATACCATAATAGAAACTGATGGTCAAAGTACTATTCTTGGAGATTGTGCAACTTACTATCTTCTCAAAGACGTGATGGAGTAGTAGAAACAAACGGCCAAAGTTAAGACCGGAGGGAATATCTAACTACCACCGACGTCAAATTGTCCGCTTACCCTCCACCATACATGCATACTGACCATTTATGTGAACATACTGTTTGTATAGTCCAACCCAAGTAGCCCTAAGAAAAAGGAAACATATGATAATATGTTGATTACCTTAAATGTGTTCTGCTCCCTGATGTTGTAACAATAAGATGGAACTTGGCCATCGTTTTAGAGTCCGGCAAACTTATTTGTGCATCCACCATAGTGCTTTGTGCTCACTCTTCTACCTACACACCTTCCCACTTTGTTGTCTAGTTCGATACCATCAGGCCCATTGGTGTTTATCCTGCCAAAATAAAAGCAACTGTGACAAGGATGGACACTGCCGATAATAATGGAAATATGTATGTCACACAATGTTCTTTGTTAGGAAAATATGCAACTTGTATTACAAGAAGGCCAAAGCCATCATATATATGTACAAGAGGATGCCAAAAGGCTAGAATACAAAAGGCCAAAGGAATCCTCGCAGCGCATGGGAGATATATTGAATCTGCACGAAAAACACGAATAAGAGTGGAAACTGGGTATGAACCATGGCAGCAATCTTTTTTATATAGACAAGACCTCACTACGAGAAGACATAAAGTAGATCCAAGTGTACCAGGAAAAATCATCTATAAAGATAATGTAGTAGCGATGACCCCCTTTCGAAGCGAAGGGAGCCGGACCCCAAACATCAGAGTGAATGAGGTCAAAGGGGCGCTCGGACACTGACTCACTATGAGGATAGGGTAGTTGAATCTGCTTACCAAGCCTGCAACCCATACAATCCAACGAAGCGTTACCGGAGGCAGACCCTAGAACACCACGATGAACCAAAGACGAGAGACGAGAACCGCATAAATGGCCAAGACGATGATGCCACTGTTGAAAAGAGTTGGTAGTTGCAGCAACAGGGGTGGTGAGACTGGCGGTAGTGGCAGCGGAGGGAAGACGAAGCCAGTCAAGCTCCCAGAGACCATTAGAGCGTCGAGGGTCAGCACCAAGCAGAGCACCCGTGCGACGATCTTGAAGAGAACAGACATCAAAGTCGAGAATGACCCTACAACTAGAATCAACAATCTGACCACCAGATATGAGGTGCATGGTAAGTCGGGGAACATGAGCTACAGAGGGAACATGAAATGAAGAAGTGCTAAGAGTGCCTCGACTAGCTACAGGGAGGGGAGTGCCGTCAGCTGCAAGAACACGAACAGGAGACTTGACAGGTCGAATGGAGGTCAAAGTGGAAGAATCATAAGTCATATGAAAAGATGCTCCAGTATCAAGAATCCATGGGGATGTACCTGAATGGGTAGAAGGTGGTTTCTCAGTGCCAGAAGGGTCAGTCACAAAACCTGCAGAACCTGTCGGTGAAGAATCCCAAGTAGCAAGCAGGCATCGTAGCTGCGCAATCTCACGCGCAAACAGAGACGGTGCGGAAAAGGTCGAGGTAGAAACACTTGCCGACGATGAGCAGTCGCCACCACCCGTGAAAGCCGTGTGTAGACTCGACGAAGAGCGGTCACTGGCGAGCGCGGAAGCCGTGAGAGGAGTCGACGTAGAGCGGCCACCAGCGTGCGCGGAAGCCGCGAGAGTCGACGTAGAGCGGTCGCCGCGAGAGGAGTTGACGTAGAGCAGTCACTGCCGCGGGCGGAAGCCGCGAGAAGAGTCGACGTAGAGCGGTCACCGCCGCGGGCGGAAGCCGCGAGAGGAGTTGACGTATAACGACCATCACAGCCTGCTGAAGACGCCATAGAGGGCAACATCAGAGGCGGACGAGCACCAAGCACCGAGCGGCGGCGCATATGCGAGACGAGATCAATATATGGAACACCATCGGTAGTCTGTGGGAAGCGACGGAATGCAGGCCCGACGAAAACGACATGTCTCCTTTTTTACATTTTTTTTTACTTTCTCTCTTTTTTTAGACAACGAAAGAACTACAGGGCGTCAAGCCAGGCACTCGTATGTAGTAGGCCAATTGACTGAGTAGCCCACCAGCAGCAGCCCAAGAGGAGCGAACCCGTGCAGGGAGCACGCACGCACAGGGCAGTTGGATCGTTCACGGCCCCGTAGTCAACGCACGCGAGGGCACCAGAAAACAAGCGGCAGACAGCTCGGGAGAGCAGAGGCGGAAGCGGCGGTTGGCGCTGGACCAGATCGCGCGCGGGGCAAAAGAAGGACGGGCGGCGGCGGCGGCGCACCAAGAGGGCGGGCGGCGGCGGCCTGGCCTGGAGCACGCGGGGCGGCGGCGGCGGCCGGGCTTGGGAGGCGAAGCGGCAGCGGCGGCGGCCTGGCCTGGGAGCAGAGGCAGGCGGCGACACGGCCAAGCCGGAGAGAATTGGAGAAATTCTGCCGGCCTGAAAGAAGACAGCGGCGGTAGTACTAGATGGATCCAGCTCCAGCACTAGTTGCAATCGTGCAGAAAAAAGAACCTAAGCTCTGATACCATGTTAGGAAAATATGCAACTTGTATTACAAGAAGGCCAAAGCCATCATATATATGTACAAGAGGATGCCAAAAGGCTAGAATACAAAAGGCCAAAGGCCATCACCAATATAACTCTAACATTCTTCATGTGACACCAACCTACCACCTATTTTGGTGTCGAAGGCCTTGCCCTTTTCACCATCGGGCAGCTTCCGTTGTTAGCGTAGCCATAGCTGGCACAACTTATATTACCAATTGGTTAACATACCAAGTCAAGACCCCTCATGTTAGGATCTTTTTCAACATAGGATCGCTCCCCCACCCTCCAAGGTCCATTTTTTCTTAGATTTTTTAGGTATGAAACCATAGTCTTAAAAATGATCTTTTCCCTAATATAATGCTTTTATTACTCTTGGTGACATCCATATTTCGATGGTGTCACTGTCACCTAAACTATCTAGGCGCTTGCCTAACTAAAATACCTAGGATGATGGCCCTTGGTGTCTGATATGGCCTCGGGGGTGCTATCTCAATGCCAAGGTGATGCCACGATAACCCCTCCCTAGAGTGTAGTAAACTGTTACAGTCGGTTCTTGCAACGTTGTGAAATAGGTAGAACAGAAGATTCAACAAGCCTTGTGAAAACATGACGTGACGGCACCACTGGTCCTACCAGCATAGCAATTAGATTGTCATGAGGGCATGACGCCATGGCCTCACTTTCACGAATCATAAGCGACATGTTGGGTCAGGCAATTGACTACCGGTATGAAGGAATTTCAGCAGTATTACGTTGCTTCGCTTTGGGAAAGCGGGAAAAAGAACCCTAGGGCTTTGATGCCATGTTGGGAATATGCAAATTGCATTTCCATGAGGCAAGTACATGAGTGGTAAACATGTAGAGAACCCCTTATACAATGGGGATATTACATGGCTATATATAACTCTTAACAAGTTTGAAGGTGATTATGGGCTGGTTGAGGTTTAGAGCAAGCACTCCTAAAGCCAGGTCTTGGCAATAATATTGATTAAGTCTACCTTGCCCTATTTAAAGGGGTGGAAATAAGATGCACGTCAAAAATGCTAACTGAGAGTTTGATATCACGATATGTTTTCTTTGATATGATGGAAATTCCATCTTAAATTGAAATAAATAAGTTGGAACAGAAGCAATCATGATTCATGAGGCAGCCCTTTACTTTGAACCTCACATAATCTTTCATTGACAACTTTTAGTTATGCAGCAGAAGCGCAGTTCGAGTGTCAGTTTTCCTTTTCAATTTAATACTTTTATTTTCCATATTTTGCGTAATGTGCAGTCTAGACTGTCCGGGTAATTACTTTTCAGAATGTGAAAGTAAAAATGCTTAATTTGGTTTCTTAACATTTCAAGCATATTAATTCAGTTGGGAGGTGTGGTTGTACACCCCCACCACCGAGTCTCTCCTGACATGCGATTTAGGGTGCCTTTCTTATTCTATAAACGATAGGTCCTCCTATGTATTCTTGTCCTTATGTTTTATTATGTAATGTGTAAAATGTCTAGGCTTTTTTTATTTATTAAAAAGGGGTATTGAGCTAGCCATGCTGTATTAATTTCTTCTTTTACTTTCCAACTATGCAGAATTAGAGGAACTGGGATGTGTCCTTAGGTCCACGCCTGTCATGGTAGACAAAGGAGTAGCATACTGGAAGCTGGATGGCTATTGTAATAACAATACAAACATATTACGCCAAGGTAAGAAATTATTATTATGAGATTTCAGTTTACTCATTTGCAAATATATAGTTATTAGTAATACCATGTTTATGTCAGAATTTGACAACGAAGCTACAATGAAGAACCAAGACAAGTGGTTCATGTTCAGTGAAGATGAACAGAAAGTAGTTGAAAATCATGTAACTACAAGGTAAGGAGTTAATCTTACCAAATTATTTTTCTGTATCCCTCTTTCCTAAATCCTGTAGACTTGTTGCTACAGTGATTTTCTTTCACCAGCGTCTTTCCGTTAGTTACCCCATCTGATATTTTATGCTGTAGACCCATTATTTCTGGTAAAAAGAACTCATATTTGTATGTGTTGCTATGGTTGGGCAACCCTCCCTCCCAAAATAAGTGTCTTGAGCTTAGTACAAATTTGTACTAGAGTTAGTACAAAGTTGAGACACTTATTTTGGGACGGAGGGAGTATAATATAGTAATGCAAATGAAGCATAATGCTATGAAGTAGCATTTTCTAAAAAATGATAATTTTTTTATGTCTTGCAGTGTGCTGTCAAAAGACTTCTCTTGGCCGTACTGTTAGAGTACGGCTCTGATACCAAATTGGTATGAACCGGATCCCTACCAGGGCGTGGTCTCAGGTTGTAGGGGTGGAAGGAGGGATGGCGTGGAGGAAGGCGTGGTTGCCGGCGCTGGGGCGCCGTCGTTGCGTGCACGCGCGCGAGAGAGAGAGCGCGGCGGCGGCTAGGGTTAGGTCTCCCGGCTCCCTAAGGAAGCCGAGCAGATATGATTGCTTCTTGCTTGATTAGATTAATACATCTCCTCTCCTTATATAGAGAAGTTTACTTGACTCCCAAGCAAGCGACCCTCATCTCTAATTAACCCTAAGACTAACGGGCTATACCGCCAGCCCAGGCCTATTAGGCCATTACATACTCTAACAAGTACATTCTCTTATATTCTTGTAAAGCAATAGCCGCACTCACCATCGTCAGTATTTCTTCTGGAGAGCTGCTAGGGTATGATCTTTGTACGACAAGACTGGTCTGGTGTTGTAGGCCCAAACATCAGGAAACGGGCCTCTGTCTGGTCGTATGAAAATCGTATGAAAAAAGGTCGTACGCAAAGTAGTTTCGTTTCTTCTGCATGTCACCTACCTACCTACCTACCACCCTCCTGCTAGTGTGATCTGATGTTTTCATTACCCGCTGTTCAGGCCTTCAGGGACATTTTGGGTTGGGGGTATTCCACCATCCCATGTGGGAACTAACAGATAAAGTAATTTTGATTGGTGGTATGATTATTATGTAGAAAGGTTACCGATTTACTTTGAAAGGATTCACCAATATGCTTAGGTGACAAAATTTACTACCTGCGGTTTTGGGATGCTTGAATAATGTAGTCTGGAGCTCCTAAACAGATTGTCGATACCTTACTTTCATGGATTTGTGGTCGTTGTTTCATTTTGGAAATCTATAGCCTGAGGCTTTTAGTTCTTTACATTTGGTCCCAAGATATAAATATCTTTGTATATGTTCTGTCAAGCCATGCTCAGTTGCTCATATCTGTGTCTTTTTTTCTTTTCTATAAACACTTCTTCATTCAAGCAAGTTATACTTTGAGCATGATTGGACTTCTGGCTGATGATGTGTTCAGTCTTTTCTTCACTGCATAGAATTGATGTGTCAATATGCTCAATTTCTTTTGGTGTTAACAAATGTCTTATTTATTTTGCGCTGGATATTTTGTTTTCTCGTTTTCTAGTTCGAGAAGTATTGCCAGCTCAGTAAGTTGGCCTTTTTTTTATCGATATAGTAGTAAAACTGTTGGCTGACCCAGTATCTTGTTGCAACTGTCTAAAATAGGTCCCAGCGCCCATGGAGAAAGGATAACCGGGTGTAATGATTTACAGATCCCAATCTCCTGCTGTTTTAACTGCTTGATGATATTCATTTGTCCTTTCTATGTGCCTTTCTTTTTATGGCTTCTAGGATACACCACATTTCCTTTCAAGTGAAATGGAAATAAGTTATTTTACAACCGCATCGTCACTATTTATGTTCTAACAGCAAAGCATATATAAACCACCAGTGTTGACTCTGCTGTGCTTATCAACCTGATGAGTGTTCACTTACAGTTACAGCTCAACTTCACCGGAAACATACGTAAAAGATAACATCGGAGATGTACAGAAGTTTGCACACGAATCTCCATTGCTTTTTCAAACCCCTTGCCATGCTATAGCAGGAAGAAGCTACTGCGTTGAACAGAATATCACCTGCGGTAGTATTGCTGATATAGTCCCGAACATAACTTTTAGCTAGTCTACAAAAGTATTTAGGATAAAACTATATTTTATATGCCACCGTAAAGCGAGTCATCACATGGAACTTCATGGTTAAGTATTTATCCTATTAGAGTTTTGTAATGATTGTTTCTCTTAAGTATTAAGCTCAGAGTGGGAGCTGTGAATTATTTTCATCTTCTTTTGATGTTCTGTTTTGGCAGGTGAATGGACTACCCCAGATGACAGTTGCTACAGAACAACCAACATTTCTCAAAGATTGGGTCATAGCATTTGAATACAAATCTTGTGGCATCTTTCTTCTCCCCTATGGGAACACAGCAAGACTTTGTAGCACCTTCTGATGTATTTTTTGGGGATGTTTTAAAAATGAGAGAAAGCTAGAGCATGCAGCTTTGCTGAAATTTATCGTTAGCATTTGAATGTCGTGCAGCCAAATTTTCCTGCTGTATCGTACTCCCTCTGTAAAGAAATATAAGTGTTTAGATCACCAGGTGCTCTTGTATTTCTTTACGGAGGGAGTATTATTGATCATTCTATAGCAGAAAAGGATTATTTCCAGTCTCGAACATGAAAGAGCTTTGATTGATTGATTTATTTATTTACCTTTTTAGAAAGGCAGGATTCATTGCTTGCATGTCTGGTTGGTGCCCTAGGCAGACATGGTCAGAAGTGGCGCCTGGAGAACAGATATAGCCTCGGGCATGCTGTCTGGACAATAGGGACGGCCAGTGTGCGCATCGCTGCACTCGAGCAGCTATACGGAGAATAGGAACGGCATTTGCATCAGGGAAAAAATCAACCTGATACCATGATGCCACTCATCAAAATTCAGTAAACAAGAGAAATGTAGGAGAGGCTGACATCGAGGACCCAATAGGTTTCTCAACCTGTATGCAAGAAAACGCCCCTTCCCGCAAAAAAAAGAAAAGAAAAGAAAACGCCCCTTCCTCGCATCAGTCTAGCCGTTGAATTTCAATCCAATGGCCGGCGTGCTTCTAATTTCCATCTTGTTCCTTAAGCCACACAAACCAACGTCGGCCGGACAATGTGCTACCGGCCCTTGAGACCGGCAAAGCTTCCTCGAAGCCCCAATTGCCGTCCAGGCCATCCCTTTAACCCTACACAACTCTTGTTCTTCTCTAGCGACAACAACCCCACCTTGTACCTTAACTAGTCAACCCTTAGCCTTGGACGTCACTGTTGCGTTGTTTTCGGCTCAAGTTGTTCCGTTCGGACCTCGTCGATGTTGCGCTTGCCACCATGCTGCTGTCTTTACTCTCGGTGCTAACGTAGAATTGACTAGCGTGAAACAAAAGTTCAGTTCAAGCATCATGTAAAGAGCAAAAGCACAGAGAAAAAGTGCTGGTTCCTACGTGTTGGTTCCTACTGTAATGCTGACGTCTGAGACCAACAAATTGTCAATGTCATCAATAAACGAGAAAAACTGTACAAGGAAAAGCTTACACCGGGGACCTAGCAGGTTAAACATGGCCATACACATGCAAGTGTCTCCTTGTTTCTCGTATCACTCATTCTAGCAACCCTAGGATTCAAATCCAATTGTTGGCGTGCCCCTTCAATCTTCCTTCTTCTCCCTCCAGCCACCCAAATCAGCTCCAACTGGACCGCCCGCTCCCAACGCTGTGTGGATGACAGCGCCGTTGCATGCCCTACCGTGAAGCACGCCCCATGCCATCCCTTTAACCCCCACACCACATGTTCTTCTCGTTCAGATCCTCACTTACCCAACTTCTTAACACATTCTTCTGATTTGCTTTTCGAGTCCAACATACCCATGTCAGGTGGATCCAGCAGATTTCATAGACTGACATCTGGTACCTTGTTTTTGGATCGAGTAAGTATCAATTTGGTTGGGCAAGCGTTGGGCCTACGCTGCCCATGTTTTTTTTCATAGAACATGACCGACCCAACTTTTTTTCAAGAAAACTACACATTCCACTTTTATTTATTTTTTAAAGAATTCTCAAGTGCAAATCTCCCAACAGGATAGATGGATTTGGGCCATGAAGGAAATTTTAGTCTTTTTCTAGGTTGGCACGCTAAGCAAGTGAACTATAAATTCTTAAAAAAGGCTATAGTTCCGCCACATATTTGAAGTCTGGCATTTGGGACCGACCTTTCCCTAGAAAAGCATTGGGACCCATGAGCTTGAAGCCAATGCAAGGCATTGTCAACATGATCAACAAATGAATCTGCCAACTGTAGTCGTTGGATTGATATCCAACGGCTATTGTGCTTCTGCAATCCGTCTTCTTCCTCTAACCACTCAAACGAGTGCGGTCAGATCATCCGTTCCTGCCTCTCGCGGCTAACGGCGCTACAATGCTCCCCTCGCCGCCCCATCCTATGCTAAACCGCCTCCCAAGCCATCCCTCTACCTCCACACCTCCTGTTGTTCCCCGGTGACGGCAACCCCACCCCGCACCGAACCAGCTAACCATTGTCCCCTCACGTGGGACTACACTGCAGCGTCTTACTAGGCTATGAGTCATTCCCGTTCGAGGCCTCTTTGTTGTCTGCCGCCTTGGTGCGCTCGTCGAGGCGTCACCGTCTGGTGTTGCCAACGTAGTCAACAACCGAGAGTCGTCGAAAGAGGACTGCACATGGAGAAGCTGACAATTAGGGACCGACTAGGTTCAAGATCACGCGCAAAATAGGTGCCTCCTTATTTCAAGAAAAAATGCTTCCTCCTAATTGAATTTGGATATCTGTGACCCACTAGGTTGAAGCCTACGTGTGTATGGTGTTATATGTCCGGTACCAATCGTGACGTGCATACTGGTCTCCAATGGTGAGCCGTGGTCGAGGAAGGAGGTGTAGGTATGCAACAGTGTACACTTGGGTAATATAGCGCGCACGCGC